ACATTTGCCATTACTCCTAAGCAGATTATTTATTAAGTAGATTTATCTAATATTTCGCAAAATCATATTTATAGATTGACTGCAATATTCCCATTGCAGGAGTTTATAGTGTTTAATATTTCTACCTATTGGTTAATTATGATGAACAATTAAGTGTAAAATTACTACAATAACAAAATATTGTAACGCAAGGGAAAATAGGCCACAAATAAATGAAATCTACTTTAAATTAGATATATCCACTTTAAAAGAATGTTTCTCTTTTTAAAATTAATTAAGACTAAGAGAGCATAAAGACTGGTAACTGTCTAAATCCCTAGGTCTAGAGACTTAAAATTTTTCACAGGCGTTTTTTGTACCACGTACATAAGCACTAAGAAAGGATTTTAGAAAACTCAACCCCTAAATTGATGAAAAGGGTGTTCAAAGTTTGATGTATCGATCTAGGAATAGTCCAAACCTCTGAGGCTTGAAATTTTGCACAAAGATTACGTACATATAACGGTGTCATCCAGCATAAAATAAGATTTCAAAATATCACCTTCAAAGGGGTGAAATGGGGGTTAAAAGTTTAATACATTATAAAGTTATAAAAAAAGCCACGGATAAGGTACTATAAGAGCTTCGGTTAGATTATGATGGGAATGATTTCAAGTTCATGCAGTAAGTCCTATACGGTCTAAAAGTCTTTCAAATTTGAATCAGCTGATTCGAATTTTTATTTCAGAGTCGATGAATTTTTAGTATCTATCAAGTTCTCGCACTCCAACACAGTCAACATTAATTTATTTTTTATTCTGATTTGAGAATGGATTCTGTACTCACAATCAGTTGTTGTCTGTAACTCCTTTGGAAAATATTCTTTCAAGGATATTTTGGTGTTTCACATCTGAGATAACCATTTTAGTTCAACACATTCAATCCAGAAGCCAAATTTGTTTTTTATCGTGCTTTACGAATTACTTCGAAAAACCACCCTGCTCCCTTCTAAACCAATTTACTAGCATAAAATCGCGAATTTAGACAGGTAAATGAGCTGTACTACACATAAATCGAATGTAGTTACAATAACGTTTTAGATTGTTTGATAAAATGGACCATATCAACGGCGAAAATACATTTTGAAGATTTGAAGTAACTTAGTTTAATTTCCACGTCATTAGTCAAGCATTTTCTTTTTTAGCGATTGTAGTTCAATAGTAAAAGAGAAGAATTTTCCCAGAGGCAATGTCGTTTGCAGTGGGTTTGGTGTAAGTTCTCGTTCTACCTTGAGGTAGAGCATGCATGATAGTAATAATGAGACATGTAAATAGCCGTTTTAATAGAATAGCACAGATTAAATAGCACATAAAACTTACCAATTTCTGTTAGCATTTGCTTCAATTAAGCACGTGTAGTATCATAAGGAATTTATCATCGTATGTGACACTAAAAATAAAACACTATTTTACTTATTATGGTTTTCTGATTGCAATACAAAACTACTTTTACTTGAAATCATTAAATTAGCAGCGACTTATTAACTTCAAATCAAACAAGCTGCTATTAAAAAATATTTTATAACGGCTGTATTACAATTAATTTCCTTCGTATTTACACCCAGGATTGTTGATATTTCATAGTACGTATAAGTAATAAAAAAACTATATACGTATACATATTTAGTTAGGGAAATATCTAAACGAACACTAAACTTTTTCGACTTATCTTCTTTTTGTGGTTCTAATAAACACAATCCTAAAAGACCTAATCGAACTTGTGCCGCTGATAATGTAATGGTAACCCAAAGGTCACGAAAAACGATTTTACGTAATAATCTGATGCAATTTCATGAAATTTCAAACTAAACTAAAGAAGGATTGAAATACAATTTAGAATTTGTGAGATCTCCTATCGCGTATCCTATTGAATAATTAATAACCAATGCAACATTTTTGAAAACCTTAAACAGTATCTAACTGAAGATGGTACCTTATGTGTTGAAACGTGTTCAAATGTTACTTTATTTTTTTTAAACTTTACCATTTTCGTTTATAAGAACAAACATATTACCATTTAGAAAATTTATTATATATTACAATATAATTGCAAAGAAGATTCTATAATGGCAGAATTTTCTCAAAGAATGCAAATTTGTTTTTAATGACTGCCTAATGTGATGAGCTATTTCCTTTTCTACAGTTCGTTGCAATTAAAAACTGAAATAATTAAAATAGCAACATTATAAGAAATTAATAAGGAATTTTAAAAATTATTCTATGAGAACCGAAATGCTAACTGATCGACCCTGAAATTTCGGAGTAACTCGACAATTGAAACAAGGTCAAAGATTTAAGAATTTCTTTTTACTATGTGCCTATATTTCACCACTTGCTCGGTTAACGAAGTATGACGTTTAATTAATGATCCCTCAATGTAATCCTTTGACATCAGTATAAGTATATTCAATATATCTTCTCGATAACGAATTATCACCTATCAATTAAAGAAAGGCTTGGCTTGGTCTTGATCTATTTTAAGAATAACCTTGTTGGATCAAGATAAGTAACTGAACACAACAAAAAAATAGCTTACATCTAATACAACACAAGTTTTTGTAACAACAATACATGTAATACACATGTACATTTGCAAATCAGTGGTTAAAAGTACAATTCATTTGTGTCTACAAGTTAAAATGGCAGTGAATGCTGTTAAACCAAAAATATCGAATAAAATATATAAAAATAATTAGCCTTAGATATACCAGTAGATAAATGTAAAGTGTACATAATTATTAATTATTTTTATTAGTAAATGAACTGAAACGGTGAGTTCTTACGAAGAAGAACGTAGTACACATTAACAATATAATCGTTATTTAATTGATTATTTATCTAAGTTCAGTAAAAGGCCTGCCTTAAACAAATGATTCAATACCATACATTCTTTTAAACAATTTACGTTAACAACATATTATAATACATGACTACATAAACGTATATAGATACAGGAATACATTTAAAGTGCAGTCAAATGTCACTTGTATCATTACTTGTATATTTTATACGAGCTTCTTCGTCGAAGTGAAAAAGATTCACTGTTCAGATATCTGATGCATTCAATGTTTTATTAATTTCTACTATTTACATTGTTACGTATTATGAACTCTGTCTTGACAAACGACTTTCCAACCAGTGATTGGTATATTTGAAATGGTTCTATTAAAGTCAGTCTAATAAGGCATCAATAAATAAAAACAACAACTAAATAAAAATTTATAAAATACCCCCTTTTAAATTTTGAAATTACTAAAAGAAAACTTTAATCCATAAAACAATTAATAAAATANCATTAACATCAAGGTTCTTGTAAATCTGACCAAAAACAAAAATGTCAATATTTATAAGATGAAGGCCTTTCCATATAAAAATACTATCAAAATTTCCGGATTTTCCCGCGTATTTTCCAATAATTTTCTTTCACACAAACCTTGTCCTGTCAATTACAAATGCAACAAAAAATAAATCAGTCAAAAGGGTTGAGCCGTGCTCAAGTGATACTCCGTCACACACTTGACAATTCCCTAGAATTAACAGCTAGGAACAGTTTGAATTTAGTTTTTACGTTTTTCAGGGAAATTTTTCTCTTCATAAGAACCTTCCTTGGACTTCAAGGAATATCTTGAAAAAAATTAGACTTTAGTATAGAAGAACCCTGATTCGCTACGATATAACGAGATAGGATTCCTTGATTGACTTGTGTGANAAAAATGTCAATATTTATAAGATGAAGGCCTTTCCATATAAAAATACTATCAAAATTTCCGGATTTTCCCGCGTATTTTCCAATAATTTTCTTTCACACAAACCTTGTCCTGTCAATTACAAATGCAACAAAAAATAAATCAGTCAAAAGGGTTGAACCGTGCTCAAGTGATACTCCCGTCACACACTTGACAATTCCCTAGAATTAACAGCTAGGAACAGTTTGAATTTAGTTTTTACGTTTTTCCGGGAAATTTTTCTCTTTATATGAACCTTCCTCAGACTTCAAGGAATATCTTAAAAAAAAATAGACTTTAGTATAGAAGAACCCTGATTCGCTACGATATAACGAGATAGGATTCCTTGATTGACTTGTGTGAAGTGGTATTTCCGTGGACTTAGATTAGAGTATTGTAAGAGAGGAATTCCTTATTGACTTATACGAAGTAATATTCACCAAGAGTTAAGTGGCATGCACTAGGTTATGTTTGGGCAAGAAAGGTATCCCTGACTGACATGTGTGAAAAACTATATGTACATCAAGGATTTAGGTTGTCTTATGTTGGGAAAGATTTTGGAAGATTAACACCATCGAAAACAATACCCATACATCCAAATTTGGACGAATTAGGACCGACGACCCTATGGTGATAAGTTGATGATAATGTATCTGTGGGTCCAGCCGTAAGTAATAAATATCAAGTATAGAAAATTTGTGAGCTTGGGATAGCAGATGATCCGATATTTTCGATTGAGACAGCGATTAAAACATCTAATAAAGGAATGAAAATATTCCCACGATGTTTAGTAAAAATCACCAGTGTTGGGCGTTTTTAAATGTTAATATTGGGATATAGGTTCAGGAAGAGGAGGAGCACCATGGTTAAAATTCAAGTGCTGTGCATCATCGATAACGGTACGACCAATTCATGTTCGAAGTACTTGTTACATATTTGATTCAACTATAGATCTATTTAATTTAAACATTTTCTAAAATCACGTAAAATTTCACCAAATACACATGGTTAAAAGTTTGCGTTGTCATTCTCGTTTCGTTTTTCGTTAATGACTTCATCAGGGTGCGAAACCACGCTTTTGGTACCGCTTGCACGTGGTACCAATGTATATGGTATACATTTTCCGGCCGTCGGTGCGTCGTGGTAAACTTGTGTCCGTTGCCGTACATTTAGGTATGTGTATGGTACCGTACTAAGTCGGGAAAAGAGAAAAGCGGGGAGAACTCCCACCGTAAGTATAAGAAGCTTAGGTCGTCACCGGAGCCTTAGTGACAGGTTAACTAGTGCTTGTTAAACATGAAGAGCTTTGGGTGTTTTGTCTTACTCGGTGCAGTTATTTTTACTGGTATGTACCCAATATTAACTACAGTTTACGGAAACAACTTTTGGATTCTTCCATTTAACTCGTTCGTGCCAAAAAATCGCTTTTCTTTTTGTTTTTGTTTTCCGCGACTACGTTGGTGTGACATAGTTGGTGACATTTCTAGAAAACAGGAATCTGATTCTCCAATTTCTCTATTTAAAAGTTTTATAAAATTAGCTAACTTTTCTAATGATTTCTTAAATATTAATTTGTTTTACAATAAATTAGAATCATAGATTTAGAGCCTTGAGTTCGTTATGCAACAGGTTTCCGAAATCGTTTCTATACTACACTACATGTGTGCTTTACTTTTAATACGGAATGTTTACTTCAACTAAATTTCATTTAAATTAACCGATTTTCTAATTATATACTTTTATAAAGACCAAGAGCTTGTAAGAGGCAGCTTTTTTCACAATAGCCTTGAATTAAACTACAATTTTTTAGCGCGACTTTTTTTTTTGAATCAACATTCTTAGAACAGTAAAAGCACTTAACATTTAAAGTAGGTACGCTTAATTTTATAGATATCACCACAAATGTTAGAGGTTATCGCCAATCCTTTTAAAATCAATTTTTAAATAGGGGTAGCGAGGTAATTTTAATGATTAAAACCATTCCTTTCTAAAGCTTTCATCAAGATAGATTTTTTAATTCAAGTAATTCCTTATGAATTTCGAAGACATACCTTGAAGAAGATTTATACCAGAGGCGAAACGTTGGAAGTTCGTTNGTTTCTTAAACATTGTACGAAGTAAAATTTCAACTGAACTAAGACCGACCAGATTTCTATTCACGCGTTGACCAAAACTGAACCTTTCCCGATTTTTTGCCGAAAAACTTCTGAATGACATTGACTTTCGTTGTGAAGACGGATTTGATTCCTTTTCTTTTTTATTGAATAATTTGCAACAGCACAGTTCAGTTTCTTGAAGGTATGACTCAATTGGCACGCCTCGATACCTTTCTCAATTACAATTTAATTATTCATTTAAAAATAAAATTTTTTCAACGTAAATCATGAGAATTACGCAAATTATGTGACAAACGTTTTGAATGACCTTTTCCCATTACTATTATTTAAAGAAAAGAGCTCGAGTGTAACGGTAATTTGTAGTTTTTTGAGAGAAAATTTTAATTTCACTTTTGATTGTTATTTCTTTTTCTATTCAAATACTTCGTATTTTTTTTTTGTACAATTAGACAGTTGATTGTTACTGTTTAGATTTATGTACTATATATCGCATAATGTTCGTATAATTCATCAATGTCAAGCCTACACGATCTTTTACTGTGATTAGTCAAATCTAGAGCAGTAAAGAAAGTCCGAACATTGACTTACTGTCTGAATGATCAATTTTAGTTTACAATCGATTGTAACACAGGTACCTACTCAAGCAGGTTTTTATTGTCCACTCGCGACGAATATTGTTTTTTTTTTTTCTTGTTTTATTTTATTGTGTTACCCAATCTGAAAGCGACTTCAAAAGACAGCGTGTAGCTGCAACTTTTGCGAAAGGTGAGAGACTTCTGAGTCTCCTACTGAGCGAATGACTGTGTGTAATATGTAATAATGTAGGTGTGCTTAGAATGGTGCGGGGTTTTGTATTGAGAATGTGCATTTTTCATTCAAGTCGTTATTTACTGTACAACGAGTTAGAAAACGGTTATTCTAATTTAAGTACATCAATTAACATTCGTTTTGCAACAGAATTACGTTATGAACCTAACGGATAAACCATAAATAAAAAAAAATTAATATATAGGTACATATAGATAGGTGCAATCTATACTGTTATGTCATGTTCCCAAAAAAATACTTTCATTTTTTTTAATGGCTTTTAAATACAAACAAATAATTCGACTTTTAAATGATATTGTATAACAAATAACTTTAGAAACTGTGCCACAATAATCAATTAAAGATTTAATAAATAACTAGCATTCATATTTGATATTTTAAAATTAAAGTGTGTCCTTATTTTTATGAAATGATTTGGTTTTTAGTTAGGGTTCGTCGCTTGACCCACTATTGGTATCTCCAAATAAATATCTGCAAAAACCGGTGCTTTTGCAGGCAATTTTAAGTTTTTGAATTCATTACTTGTTCAATATGACTTAGAAAAATGTAACTAATTAGAAGTACACTCAAATCAAACCAAAATATTAGAAATTAATTCAGAATACTCTTATGTAAGTGATGCACGAGTGTTTAAAAAGTAATTTGCTTTATTTTATGTATAATAAGCTTCAAATTTTCTTAAATCTTTAAAGATGTAAACACTTAATGTTCATATTTAAGTATCTAACTAACAAACTACCCGAATTGAAGTGATATTATTATTGTACATTAATATGAAATTAAACGCAGACATAGTTCCATATTTATCTGTGTGCAATTTTTCGTTAATTCGTATTATAACTAGGGTTCGTCGCTTAACTCACTGTTGATATCTCCAAATAAAAATCTAAAAATATCGATGCATTTGCAGGAATCTTAACATTGTGGGTTAGTTACTTGTTCAAAATAACGCAGGAATATATGCCTAATTAAAATTACAACCAAATTAACCAAAATATTAGGAATAAACTTAATAAACTGTCATGTAAGTTATGCGTAAGTGCTTGAAAAATCATTTTTGTTATTTTATATAAAATTTAAGATTCAGTTGAGGAATTGATGCTAAATCCTTAAAAATATAAATATTTAATGTTCATATTAAAATAGCAAACTCTTTTTGAATTGAACTGATATTATTACATATTGAAATGAAGTTAAAGACAGATATAGTGCTGATTGTTGTCGTAAATTCTTCGGTGTTTAAAGATTTTTTAATTCAAATTAAAACTAGGGTTCGTCGCTTGACCCACTGTTGATGTTTCCCAACATAAACCTAAAAATATCGATGTAATTGTAGGAATTTTAACATTGCACTTGCTCAATGTATAGTTTACAATGCAACAAAGTGTAACTAACAAAAATTCTACTCTAATATGCCAAAACAATAGATATAGCTATTAATTTTACGTACTCCTACGAAAGTATGCATAAGTGTGTACTTAAAAACGATCGACTTCATTTTACGTAAAATTTAAGCTTCAAATTTTCCTAAATCCATAAAAATATAAATATCTAATGTTCATAATCAAGTAATAAACATGTTCAGTTGAAGTGACACTATGGTACATTAATATAAAGTTAAAGACAAATACAGCGCCAATTAGTTTGAAAAATTCATCTGTGTTTAATAATTCGTTAATTGAAATTATAACTAGGGTTCGTCGCTTGACCCACTGTTGATGTTTCCGAACATAAACCTAAAAATATCGATGTATTTGGAGGAATTTTAATTTTGTGAGGTTGTTAGTCAGTCACAAAACTTAGCGTTAGAAAGATGCAACTAATCCACAATACCACAATAATAAAAAAAAATCTAAAACTACCATTCGAAGAATAGTAAATGTAATGTTTGATATCTAGCAAAGTATAACAGTACAAAATGATACTGAAATTAGCAAAAATGTTGTGTAATAATACCTATGGCATATTCTTACATAGTAAGCAATGTTTTATCTCCTTTTCGTCCACAGTTAAACTCATATTTTCATAAATATTTGTAAAAATTTAAAATGAAACTGTAGACATACAAATAACGGGTACATATACGTAAATCTACGAATGTTGCTTAATCTAGAGCAAAATTATTGTTCCTAGAAGTGACAGTGACCTTTATGCAAAGAGGAAGTAAAGTGCATGCATTCTTTTACATTAGATGTGTGTATTTATTACAGATACATAGTTATTGTTGCGAATTAAAAATGGCTCGTACCCGTTAGCCTTCGAATTCCTTCGCAATAGTGCGCTTTTTTCATTAAGGACTTTGCATGGCGCTGCAGAACGTGATAAATTAACATTGGAGGCGTTTCTTAAACATTGTACGAAGTAAAATTTCAACTGAACTAAGACCGACCAGATTTCTATTCACGCGTTGACCAAAACTGAACCTTTCCCGATTTTTTGCCGAAAAACTTCTGAATGACATTGACTTTCGTTGTGAAGACGGATTTGATTCCTTTTCTTTTTTATTGAATAATTTGCAACAGCACAGTTCAGTTTCTTGAAGGTATGACTCAATTGGCACGCCTCGATACCTTTCTCAATTACAATTTAATTATTCATTTAAAAATAAAATTTTTTCAACGTAAATCATGAGAATTACGCAAATTATGTGACAAACGTTTTGAATGACCTTTTCCCATTACTATTATTTAAAGAAAAGAGCTCGAGTGTAACGGTAATTTGTAGTTTTTTGAGAGAAAATTTTAATTTCACTTTTGATTGTTATTTCTTTTTCTATTCAAATACTTCGTATTTTTTTTTTGTACAATTAGACAGTTGATTGTTACTGTTTAGATTTATGTACTATATATCGCATAATGTTCGTATAATTCATCAATGTCAAGCCTACACGATCTTTTACTGTGATTAGTCAAATCTAGAGCAGTAAAGAAAGTCCGAACATTGACTTACTGTCTGAATTATCATCCTCCAATTCCTGCATTTTATATTTTGCTAACTAAACGTTTGTTTCCGGCCTATTAGGCAAGTGACAGTAGCTATTAACTTCAACAATTGTGTAGGCAAAGCAAAAAACAAAACGAAACTAGAAATAACAAATGAAGATGTCACAAATTATAGGCAGACGAGACAACAATAGAAACAACAAATGAATATGTCATAAACAATAGGTAAACAAGACAATACTAGAAACAACAAATGAAGATGTCACAAATTATACACAATCAAGACAATACTTGAAACAACCAATGAAGATGTCACAAATTATAGGTAAACAAAAGTTCTTGATGGAAGAAGGTTTTTAGAATTACATAGTCAACTAAGAAGTGGACATAGGAGGGGTATTGGGAAGATTGAAATAGAGGAAGAATGCATGGTATAATTACTGTGTTCTAGAATATTC